GGTCACAAGGGTGACTCATGAATTGATTGACACTTTCTAAAAAGGGCACTGGCTTGTCCCTCTATGAGGGACCATCAAGGGCACAGCAGCCTGCAAGCCAGGATTCCCAATGCCTTCCTCTCAATCTTCCAGTCTCCAGAGTAGGGAGAAGAACCTCCCCCACCCCCCGCAACTGTTCATTTTATTATAGAATAGCATCTGAACAGCCCTGAACACACCCCAGTAACCAGCCGCACTATGTCACTGAGGCTGGAGCTGGCTACCACCCTTCACTTGAGGCCCTTAGGAACCAGTGCTCTTCCTGCTGTCCCTCAGTTACAGGGCTCCGGGCCTGAGGTGGGAAGAGCAGCATCCCTGTCAGCAGCTTTTCTGGGAGTGACCAGTGATGGTTGAATGGAAGCTGAAAGCCAGGGAAGGAGCTACACACAGTCCCCAAGTCCTGCAGAGGTGACAGAGCAGCCCTGGAACACCCTCGCAAGGGCCACTGCTGCTCTGGAGAGAACGCAAAGAGGAGGGGACAGTGGGCAATGCCATCCAGGGAAGGGACAAGCCTTGCAGGCAGGCCGTGTAGCTCCATCTCCCCCACTTTGCGAGGGTGTTATGGGAGCTTGGGCAACAACAGGCAGCTACATCGCTAAAAAACTTCTTCTCCTGGCACTGGTTCTCCTGACTAGATACCTTGGCAACCATTAACTGTCTGTAAATACCCAGGGAGGGGCGTGGCCCTGTGAGCCCCTCCCTCTAGCGATCCTTAACAGTCTATAAATTCTTGATAGGCAGGGAGTCATGAGCCCCTCTCCTCTCCCAGGATGGAAAGCAAATAGGTCCAGCCTTGGGTAGCCCTTGGAAGGCTGCTGCCAGGTCCTGAGGACAAGGACACATTATGCCCAGAGGACAGTAGGACTCGATAGTGGGGTTTTGCATGGATGCATGGATGTGGGTCCCTGAGGAGAGACTTCACTAGGAGCCGTCTTTCCAGGCTCCTTCCTTGTCTGCAGTGATGCCTTGGTGTCCATTCTCCCCGAGGCTTCTGAGAACTGTTTCCTTCCTTTCCCACACTGGGGATGAGAGAGCCTATCTGCAGGAGAAGGACAGGCGTGTCCATGCCGCTGTCGCCCTCCACAGTGGGGAGCACTGCTGGGTACGTCACTACACAAAGCCCCCGCCCCAGAGCTGGGCTGCAGAGTCACAAAAAGACTGGCTTCTCCAGGTGCAGAGACACCTGACACGGAGCTCTGGGTTCTGGCATTTGTCCTGCTGGGTTTCCATCTTGCTTTGGCATGGATTTCCCCACTGCACTCCATTTCTCCCTCTTGAAATGGTAATATATATTCTTTATATTACAAATTACATGCTCCAGCATGTAATTTGCTTTTTGATTTTACAGGGGTTACAGTTAAGAGATTGCCTTGAGTCTCAGAAGAGGTTTTAGATTTTTAAACAGTGAACAGACCACAGGGACTTTTTGAAGTTGGGTTAAATAAATGCATTTTGCATTATGGTATGGCCATGAGCCCAAATGGGGGCCAGGGAGGGGAAAGTGGTGGTCTGAGTGAGAAACAGCTTTCAGAGATTTGGGCATCTGAACACTTGGTTCCCAGTTGGTGTCACTACTTGGGGAGGTTTAGACGGCGCGGCCTGGCTAGAGGAAGTATGTTACTGGGGTGAGCTTTGAGACTATACAGCCTCAACCCACTTCCACTTTGCTTTGTGCTTACTATTAAAGATGTTAGCTCCTAGCACCCCACTCTTGCTGTCATGCCAGCTGCTGGCTGCCATGTTTCCTGCCATGACGGACTCTTAACTCTTTGACACAGTTAGCCGACATAAACTCTTCCACAGTTGCTTTTGGTTATGCACTTAGCCATGAAAAGTAACTAATTCTGACATGGCCATACCCGAAATGGAGGAATGCTGACCTTGTGCCCCCCTCACTGTGTTCTTCATCCTTTCTCCTCTCTCTCCCGGCAGCCACGAGGGACTGAAATGCTCTCCCTGATTGGCAAAAACAAAGACAAAAGCAAAAATCCAAAAAAACCAAACTTTGCCTGGATTCTGCCCCAACCTTCACGTATTACACAATCCAAGTGTAATATGTCATGGTGCCTAGGGAAGGGCTGGGCAAAGACATATGCACCATTCAATACAGGGACTCCTCACTAAGACCAGCTTCCAAAGAGGACAGTCAGAAAAACTCAGGTATCTCCTGACTACAACAGGGACAGAGGAATCAAAAGTCTTTGCAGTCTCCCAGGCTATATAAGGGCCTAAAACAGTTTAGCTTGCAATGGGGCTTGCTCCTCCCTGATCTACTCATCTTGCCACCCTGAACTTTCATGGGGTTTTAGGCCTGAACCTGCAATTCTGGTCTGTTACCAACAGGGGGAGATGTACATGCACGTGCAACATGTCACACCAGCAAGAAGGCTCCCACAAGCCTTCAGGAAGCCCCTTGGAGTTACCAATTTAGAGTAAAATAAGCTGTTCTAAATTGCAGATCTAGTTACCCCCAGGAAGCAAATATATGCTTGCACACAGTCACGGGCCCAACGAGGGCGAATAAACCAAGCTCCATGACATTCTGCTGTTCGGTGACAAACAGGACCATACTGTCCTTCACACTGAATTCTGGTCTCCCATCTGAACGCTCCTTAGAGGGCAGAGTTGTGTGTGCGAGCAGTGAACAGACACAGTTGGAGGAGGCTTCCCACTCAGTGCTCACTTCTTACCCGAGGTCTTTCGCAAATTCTGCCCATATTGTTGACACTACTGACCGTCTACTGTGGACTGACATCTCAGGCCTCATCTGCCAAAGCCCACTATGGAAACAATGCATCTAAGGAATCTTGGCAGTGGGTATCTCTTTTCCTTCATGTCCTCCCTCTGTGCTTCTAGCTCTGACTAGATATATTCACATCAACATTTTAACAAGACCAGCATCCACGCTTCCTCTCAACTGTGCGATAATCCACCCATACTTAAACCATATTCTCTGATTTGATTACTTTGTCATTTCCTGTAAGTTTTTCCCATCCTGGAGCAAAATAATTTTGTTTTTTTCATTGGTTCAATTTTCTATGTACTTAACAGCCATTCAAATCCAAACACTTCCCTAATTCAGTGAATCCCTTTTCATGATTTACAGAACCACAGGGTTTTAAATTGGTCGGGAAGAACTGTCTTCTGGGGTCTTCCTGTGGGTCTGTTTTTGACACCAGGTCTCACAATGTAGCTCTGGCTGGCCTGGAACTCACTATACAGCTTGGGCTGAGCTTGAACTATGGGTGATCCTCCTGCTTCTTTAGTGCTAGAGTTCCAAGTATGTGCTACTATTCCTGGTCTCTCTTGAGGACTTCTGATTGATACTACATAGTCAAGGCTCAGTGTTCTCCAGGCCAGCCCGAGGCCCCCCCCACCATCCCTGGACCTCCTCTGACACTCATGTTGAAAGCCTTGACCCTCAGACTCTGGGTGTGTGAGCAGCTTACTTGGTTTAAAACCCTCCCCTTTCTTGAGTGATGTTTCCTAATATAGCAATTTGGAGATGATTTTTGACATACTGACCTTTGACCCTCAAACTTAATCAACAGCTTAGCTGGCTATAAAACTTGAAGATGGAGGGTAAGGTAAAGTAAGCCCCTGATTCTGATTCTTCTTCAAGGGACAACTGTGAGGCCTGGACAACACAACCTCCACCCAGAACCAGGCCGGAAGAGAAGGCTGTGCTGGAGTGTGAGCAAGGCAGGCTCGGGATGGGAGCTGGGAGTGGTGGGGTGTGGGTCACTGCAACTCTGATGGGGAACTGCAACTGCCCAGGTTGGAAAATCAGAGGGCAGAGTTCAGGGTGGCCATGGGTACCAAAATATGGCAGAGGCCCGGCAAGGAGGGGTAAACTTTCCCCAGCTCTCAGGTTGACTGTATGAACTGTGTGTGTATTGGAGACTCAGAGCCACCACCCGGAAAGGCTGGAAGAACCCAGATTTAATTGTGAGCTGCGACCACTACAAGCCACACAGAGTGGGACATCAGAGTTAATCATGCTGGCACTGAAAATGCAAACGTTCACCCAGGAACGGTAAGAGAGTTCAGAGTCGCCACCCAACTGTCACAGCAGTCAGGGCACAATTCAAACCTGCTCCAGGAATACAGGCGACCCAGCATTGGGACTGTCACACTGGGTGTTAGCATACTTAGTACAACGCTTCACCGGGTGGGCTTGACAGAAGACAAGAAATGGGTCAGAAGAGAGACAGTGAAGAGTCCAAAGATTACAGATTTAAAAAATGAACTTAAGAATGCTCAGGGCATCAGCCAATGGCTTAACACAAAGGCAATGCAGGGTTCTGATGCAGGAAATGAGAACCACAGAAGAATTAGAACACACACACACACACACACACACACACACACACACACACACACGGCTAAAAATGTTTAGTGAAGGATGTAAACCTTCAAGATTCAAGAAATGTTGTGAGCAGAGCCGGGCAGTGTTGGCACACACCTTTGATCCCAGCACTTGGGAGGCAGAGGCAGGAGGATCTCTGTGAGTTCGAGGCCAGCCTGGTTACAGAGTGAGTTCCAGGACAGCCAAGGCGACACAGAGAAACCCTGTCTTGAAGAACTAAAAGGAAAAAGAAATGCTGTGAGTCTTAAACTCTGAAGCAAGCCCAGGCACAGTATAGCTTGCCCACTGGACGCAGAAGGCAATGCGGACCCACCAAACCAGAGAAGAGGATGCTTCAAACGACTTCATGTCAGAAACCCTACAGGCCAGAAGTCGGGGCCAATGTCTCCAACACCCAAAGGACTGATTCTGTTGAAGGCATCAGCAGAGAATGCAGGCTGACTGAGGAACGGAGTCAGCTGCTGTCCACAGAGCTATGTGTTGCCGTGGGGGCTACAACTGTACAGCTTAAGACACAGGACAATCAGCAGGAAGGAAGGCAGCTGTGCCCACGCAGTTCCCAGGCACAGAACCGGAACCCAAAATATAGAAGTTTGATGTCACATGTGTACTACCAACTCCAAGTAGACCCTGAACACTGAGGAGTGCCTGCGACCTGAGAGCCGCCACGGCCAGAATATAGAGAGGGACAGCTAAAGCCCACGGGCACCAAAACAAGGCTCCAGGAACAGGTAAGTCAAACTATGGCAGGAAGGGGAGGCAAGATGAAAAAGCAGAGAAGCAGAAAGCAAACCCACAGATCCAGACGAAATGCCAGTGATGACATTAAATGTTAGTGGGATAAAACTTCAATTAACAAGCAGATCTAGCCAGGCATGGCGGCATACACCTTTAATACCAGCACTCAGGAAGCAGAGACAGGCAGATCTTTATGAGTTCCAGGCCTGTCACAAAAAAACAAAAACAACAACAACAACAAAAAAAAAACAAAAAAAGCAGATATAAAATGGATTAAAAAATAAAAAAGATAGATCTAAAATGCTATTCATAGGCTTTGTTTGAAAAAGGACGTACTTTTAAGTCTGTATGTGGGGAGGCCATGTACAGGCATTGACTACAGATTCCAGGAGAGGGCGCTGCAACCTCTGGAGCAGGAGATAATTGCCCAACATGGGTACTAGAAACCCGGCTTAGATCCTTCGGAAGAGCAGCAAGTGCTTATAAACCCTCAGCTGTATCTCCAGCCAGTTCATGTTCTTTCAATACAGAGACCCTAAGGAGTTAAAAGGAAGTGGGAAACACAGAGTAAGGGTGGAGGCTCTGTAAGTATCCACAAAACAGCCCCCACCAAGCAGAAACGCTGTGTGCAGCTGTTCTGAACATGTCAAATATGGTGTTACAACGTGACCCAGAAACTCTACAACAAGAAATATTAAAAGTAGCTGTATACACACGAAGCCCATGTACAGCAGTTCCTGGGGGGTGGGAGGGTCATGGATGAGAGATTGCTTCTTGGGGCAACATCTTGTTTTACAATCTTATTGTGCTAATGGTTGTACAACTGCAAATTAAAATTCAGTGGGTTGTTACACTTTAAAGGGTCAAGGTTTATGTTGCATGAATTCTACCTCAAAATTCTGTCAGTAAGGCAGGAAAGATGGCTCAAGGTTAAAAGCACTGCCTGCTCTGGCAGAGGACCTGGGTTTGGTTCCAGCACCCACATGGTAACTCACAACCATCTGTAACTTCACTTCGGGGGATCCGATGCTCTCTTCTGGCCTCCCTGGCATGCATGTGGTGCACAGATACACATGCAGACAAAACACCCACACAAGTAAAATAAAATATCTCTTAAAACAAAGGGAAGCATTACGGGAAGTAAAGACGGAAGGTGTCAAGGCAGTGATGAACATGTGTCTGCTAACAAGGCCTCCACACGTGTGAACTTTTGCACAGATACTGAGCTCAGCAACTCACAGCTTTAGAAATGCCCACACCTGAACACCAATCCTCTCCTAAAGCTGAAACCAAAAACCAGCGTAAGGGAGGAAGGGTTTATCTCAGCTGTGGTTCCGGGGTGCAGTCCGCCATGGCAGGGAAGGCATGCCTGCAGGGGTGTGAGGCAGCTGGTCACATCGCAGCCACAGTCAGGAAGCAGAGAGAGACGAATACAGGCGCTCAGCTCTCTCCTTTCTAATCAGTCTGGGACCCCAGTCCATGGGATGGTGCCCCCCAACTGAGACCAGACTGCCTGCCCCAGTTAACTCAGACTAGACAATCCCTTAAAGATGTGCCACAGGCTTGTCTCCTGGGTGGCTCCAGGTCAAGTTGACAATATTAGCCATCTCATGTACCTACATCAAAACTGACAAGACAATACAAGTCAATTAAGATGACAAGGGATCTTCAGAATTCGGAAGGCTGGCTTCCATTTAGTTCAGATGTGAGGCCTGCTCTGGGGGGACTGAAGGATCTGACTCTCTATCTCTCTGTCTCTCTCTCTGTCTCTCTCTCTGTCTCTCTCTGTCTCTCTCTCTCTCTCTGTCTCTCTCTCTCTGTGTGTGTACATGCAGAGGCCAGAGGACAATCCCTGGTGTCATGCCGTAGGAGCGACCACTTATTTTTTGAGATGGGGTCTTTCATTGACTTGGAACTCACCAAGCAGGTTGGACTGGCTGGTCAGCCAACCCCAGGAACCTGCCCAGCTCCATCTCCCCAGTGCTGGGGTTAGAATCATTCACCACCTCATTCAGCATCCCCCCATCCCCCAACATGGGCTCATGTTGTAGCCTTAGCTGGTCTTGAACTCACAGAGATTGGCCTGCCTCTGCCTGGGGAGTTCTGGGATTAAAGGCGTGTGCCACCATACCCATTCAGTGTCTTTTGATGTGGGTTCTGAGGACCAGACTCAGCTTCCTGTGCTAGCCAAGCAAGCGCATCTCTGGTTGAGCCATCTCCCGTGACCTCCTCTTGAGCCCCTTTCTTCCGCCCCGAGCTTCCCGGGTGTGTCTGGTGTGTCTCGTGTGACTGCTTTCTCCCCTTGTTTGTCAGAGCACTCCAGCTGTTCCGACGTCGTCTTCCTGCACTTTAGAAATTATCCCCTTCCTGCTTCTTTGCACAGGGTAGGCCTGGGTGCCTCCTTCCTTTCCCCTCCATCTCCCATCATTTCCTCTGTTCTCAGAGGTTCTCTCCAATGTCATCTTTCAGTCCATCTATCAAAACACATCTGCTATCGTATTTTGTAAAAATTTCTAGAACTCTTATTTTGTTCTCTGAATGTTCCCTTTCAGAAGGGCGTTTTGTTCTTACTTCAAGGAGGCGGCATCGTCTTTGATCTCACTGAGCACACGAATCATAGATTTGTTTAATAGCCTTCTCTCTGCACGGCATCCCCTCCCATCTTTTCCATGGCATGTTTTTAATTCTTTATTAACCTTATTTATTTCGTGAGTGTCTATGTGAGTGGGTGTGCCACAATGCACCTTGTGGAGAGGTCAGAGGGCAATTTGTAGGAGTTGGTTCTCTCCTTGCACACTGTGGATCGTGGGGATGGAGCTCGAGTCGTCAGGCGTGGCAACCAGCATCTTTACCCACTGAGCCACCTCACCAGCCCCTCCTTTTGGGGGTATTTTGTTTTGGGCTCTGTCTTTGATATTAATTTTTCCCCCAAATGCCTGCAGCCCCCTGTAGGCATCTCATATTCAGGAGGGGCTTTTAACAGGGTCACTTGTAGCCTGACCCACTGTTGATGAATACCGTAAAACTGATTCAAAATTTACATGGTAATGCTAAAGATCAAATTAGCAAACGTGACACAGGAGCGGGACAGAGCCAGGAGCTGAGGTGACTGGCTTTTGAGATGTGCTATCCAGCAGCTGGACTCAGGACAGCAAGAGAGCAGTGGGAGAACCGACAGCAGGTCAGCACAGCGTAACAGAGCCCAGAATAGACCCCGCAGCCGGCCGACGGGTCTTTTGATAAAGGATCTCAGGCAATGCCATGGGGAAAGGACAGGCTTTCCCACAAAGCCGACCGAACAATTGGACACCCACGTGCAGAAAGTGAACATCGATATAGACCTTAAACCTTTAGAAATTAACCCAAAATGGATCACAGTTCTAAATATAACCCTCCAGGCTATAAAACTCCCGGAAGATAATGCTGGGGAAAATCTAGGTGACCTAGAGTCTCTAAATGCAACATCAAAATCAGGATCTAGGTAGAAGTCATGGACATGGTGGGTTACATCAAGCAGAAGGTTTGCACCAAGAGAGACCCACTGTTAAGAATAAAAATGCCCATCAACTGGGGAAGGGAAATCTGTGCAAAATATACATCAGATTAATGTTGGCGTTTAAAACACCAAAGAACTCTTTGACAGTAAGGAAGCAGACAATTGGATTAAAAATGAGCAAGTGGTCTGCTCAGGTAACCATAGTAAAGACTGACATGGGGCAAACAAGCAGGCAGACAGGCTCCATGCATGTATGGCAAGAAGTGTGTCAAGGAGGAAGGGTCATTTTGGCTCCTGAGTGGAGGGGATGCAGTCCAGTATGTGGGGAAGGCAAGACGGCAGGAGGGGCGAGACGTGCTTGTAGGCCTGTGACATTGTTCGTTTACATGTCTGCAGACCAGAAAGCAGACCAGGAAGCAGAGCAGGGAGCTGGACAGGAAGCTGGAGAGGAAGCAGGACAGCACAGGAAGCAAGACAGGAAGCAGAGCAGGGCGGTTGCCCTCAAGGCCCACCAACCAACCATCTTCTGCTTGGCTCCATGAACTCAAAATGTCCACGCTGTTCTAGTTTTGTTTTTTGGTTTTTTTTTTCTGTTACGGTGATAAAACACTGTCCAAAAGCAACTTAAAGAGGAAGGGGTTTATTTGGCTTATACCTCCAGGTCATAGTTCAGCATTTGTTTGAAGCCAGGGAAGGAAACTGGAGGCAGGAACCGTGGAGGATGCTGCTTGCTAGCTTGCTTACTCTCAGGTCTAAGCTCAGTTGATTTTCTTATACAGCCTGGGACCATAAGCCTAGGGAATGGTATTGCCCACAATAGTGAAGGCCCTTCTTTTTAATAATTGAGACGAAACCTTACAGACAAGCCCACAGGTCAATCTAATCCAGGCGATTCCTCAACTGACTTTAGGCTGTACCAAGTTGACAAAGGTAACCAGGACTCACATTCTCCAAACAGCACCACCAACCAGCAACCAAATGCATACGGGGTCATTTCTCATCTGGACCTTGACAACGTATTCCTGGGAAGTTGCAGAGTCACAAGATGCAACTTGTCACAAGAAGACAACCCTATGCAAACGCTGCACCCTGAGAAGTGCAGTCCCATTCCTGTGCTCGGTCCAGGCCCTCTGGGGATATCCTAGCCATTTCTTTTTTTTTTTAAATGCAATAGCTTTATTAATTCTTTAAGAATTTTATCCAATGCATTTGACTGTGCTCACCTCCACTCTTCTCATAAGGCCCCCAGATCCAGCCCTCACCACCTCCCACCCCTTCCCAACTTCATGGCTTCTTTTTAAAAAATCTAAAATTTGTTATTTATAACCCACGGAGTCTAATCTGTGCTGTCTGTACACACCTATGTGTGACACCGTCCACTGGTGTGTGACCACCTACCAGCGTAACGCCCTTAAAGAAAACCGATTCTCCCTTTCTCCAGAAGCCATCGATTGTCCATAACTCTTCAGCTGGGGGTGGGGGCTTGCAGCCCCCCAATCTGGCAATTTCTTACATAACTGAACATATTCTTGTTGCATAACCCAGCCATCCAGTTTCTTGGTATTTACCCAAAGAAGCTGAAAACTCAGGTCCACATAAACACATGCCTATGGATATTTCTAGAAATGTTAGCTTTAATTGCTAAGACTCAGATGTAATTATGATGCTCTGCGGTAGGCCAGTGGATGAACAAATTCTTGGTGGTATTGCTACACAAACATTATTCACTGACCAAAAAAAAAAGAGCCACATAAATGGGGGAATCTCAATTGTACATCACTTAGTGAAAAAGGCGCACATTGAATCCAAGTTCAATACACCAGGAAAGCTACAGGGACAGCACACTGACCCTTAGCGGTTCTAGGATGTGGGAGAGCAGATGGAGCCCACTGGACTTTCTGTGCGGCGAAACCATCTGTGTGGGACTAATAGCCGACAACCGACTTCACACACACACATCTCAGAACCCATAGGATGGACAGCACAGAGAGGGCGTTCAGTCACCGATGGGCACATCATCAGCCACCACAGAGGAAGATGAGGGGGGCAGCTGTCACATAACAAACAGGTCACAAGGGAAGGGGGGCCTTTCACTTTAGACTCAATCTTTTAAACTTTACATTTTAAGATTATGTGTGTGAAGGTTGGAGGGCAGCCCGCAGCTCTTCTTCTACTGTGAGGGATGGGACTCTGGTCAGTCTTGGCAGCAAGCACCTTTGCCCACGGAGACATCTCCCTGGCCCTCACTTTTCCACCTATGAATTAAAACTAATTACAAACTAAAGTGTCTGGAGAGGTATGTGCATGGGAGTACAGCTGCCCACGGGGGCCAGAATACCTGGGCAGATACCCAGGAGCTGGAGCTAGGGGCTGTTGGGAGCCACCTGATGTGGGTGCTGGGAACTGAACCGCAAAGCCAACTCTCCAGTCCCATTTAGGGGAGAAACTTCCTGGGAAGGCAAGACGGCTCAGTGGATAAAGGTGTTTGCCTGCCAAGTCTGATGACCTGAGTTCAGATCCTAGGACTCACATGGTCAAAGGAGAGAGCTAACTCCGGCAAGTTGTCTTCCAATCTTTACAAGAATCTCTCTCTCTCTCTCTCTCTCTCTCTCTCACATACACACACACACACACACACACACACACACACACACACACACACACAGTGGTATGTGTTTGTCCTGTAACAAATAAAGCTTGCCTGAAGATCAGAGTGCAGAGTTAGTCATAGAGGTCAGGCAGTGGTGGCGCACACTTTTAATCCCAGCACTCAGGAGACAGAAGCAGCTGGATCTCTGTGAGTTCAAGGCCACCCGGGGCTACACAAGATCGATTCAGTCTAACAGAGAAACCGAGCTCACAGAAAGGTGATCCCAGCATTTGGGATCACAGGCCTTTAATCCCAGCACTAGGGAGGTGGAGACAGGAGTGATATGGCTGGGTGGAGAGAGGAATGTAAGGCAGGAGGAGACAGGAGCTCAGTGCAGTCTGAGGATTCCTATGGACAGGACCGCCCCTTTGGTCTGAGCATTGGTAGAGGTGAGAACTCTAGTGGCTGCCGCTCTGCTTCTCTGAACCTTCAGTTTGCACCCTGATACCTGATTCCGAGGGTTTTTTTTTTATCAGTACCAATTAGAATTTGTGCTACACACACACACACACACACACACACACACACACACACACACACACACACA